GGGAAAGAGCTGGATGAAATTTGTCATGCTGGAGGATGCTGAGGGAGCAAAGGGGAGGGTTACAAAACAGGGGGTGAGATCAGGTGTCTTGCTCACCCTATTGCCCGATCAGCATCCCCAGTATCTGGTCTACAAAGTTCTGTTTCTCTCAGATGGTGGAAGTGAGGAGAGAGTTTAGGGCAGTTTCCAGCTGCCTACTGATTGGCACTTGGCCTGTTTTTGTTCTATTTCTTCTACTTCACCTTCACAGTAGGACTGCTGTGGACTCAGAGCATGTAGCAAACACTTGGTGCTGCTTGATGGAGGATTATCACCCGATAACAGGGTGATTCTTGGAGCATGCACTTTGCTGCAGAGCTAGTATGGGAGAGAGACCAGAATGTAAATGTCTTATCAGGAAAGAGATGCTTAGGTGAGGGAAACCCTCTTACTGTATGACTCTTGTAGCATCAGTGGGGTAAAGCCGCAAAAGCCATCTTATAGCTTACATAGTTTGTGGATTTGGTTTTCCTCATTCAGCTCTTTCCTATCCACATTCATCCATCTTTCGTTGCTACACTGAGCAAAAAGGGTGAAGTGGAAATAGTCTATAAAGAGTCACGTCTATACAGACTTGTTTTGGACATGCTTTCCAAACTGTTTGGTGTGGAGAAAGGAATTCTATAGGAACCTGCTTCAGTACTGCTTGTGCTTTTGCATTACGTGGAGGCTGCCAAAGTCTTTGATCTTCTGTTTTCATCCAGTATCTTCTACAAAGCTCAGGGCCCAAGCCAGCTCCCATTACTTCAAGGCAAAGAGGCATCGAGGCATCTGTGAGTCAAAGAAGGCTCTGACTATGCTTGGTAGCACAACAGAAACAAATGAAAGGGAAAAGCCAGGAGGCACAGGGTAAAAGTTGGACTACAACTCAGGAAAGACTGAGGCAAAAACTCCAATTCAGTTGCTCAGGGAAATTGGATTATCAAATTTAATTGTGTTAAGAACAATAGTGTTCATTATATTTGGCACTGAAAAGCCCTGGGCACAAACACTAGTTATTTGGAGCCTCATCGGGCAGCTATGGAAGGAAATGGCAAGCTCCCACTGGTCTCTGTGGGTGAGAGATTGAGCCCTATGCAAACAAATATTGATCACCAAGTGCCAAGAAAAGAGTAACTTTGAACTAAATGTGTGGCAGACATACGGGCTGAATTATCATTCATCTCCATGCATCCTTGTTCTAATGCTGGCTAAATCCAGTACTTCTTAGACCCTTTGCACCTTCCTTCCTTGTCTCACAGTGTACCCTTGTGCATTGTTGTTGCTCAGACCATTTTTGATGGATTACTTATGTCCCTCGTCTCCAGTGTTACAGATGTGTTCATGTAATGCTTCAAACTAATTGCTTTTCACTAGAACAATTTCCCCTGAAAATAAATGTTCCCCTAGTGTCTTTCTTGCCAAGGTCTGCAAGTAAACACAAGGTATCACTGACTTATTCCTTCAAAGGATCCAAACATTTAATGCATTGGCCAGATGTTTGTGTTCGTCTTGGTGAAAATGCTTTTGGTTGAGAGCAAATCAATCCTTTGTTGATTTTTGAGAAGGAGGCAGTGTTTTAAGACCAACTGCATGTCGGTTTTGAGGATGAAGATCAAATTGATGGAGCTGTTTTGTTTGTGCTCCGGAAAGCACAAACTTCATTAGGCAGAGTGGCCTTTTGGACCATATGGCCTCTCTATTCTCCCACTCCTTCAAAGGAGAAAAAGCCCTCTTATTCCAGCTTTACTGCTGACACCAAACATGTAAAACCACGCAGGTGTCAGACATGGGCAAGGTGGTTAAGATATTAAATCTAGAATAGCATCAAATGATTCATTAAACATTGGGACTTGAAAAAATAGAATCCATTTTGACATTAAAACATTCTGGGAATTTAAGCGGTAATATCTGGAATCTATACAGTAGCTTATTGAAAGATTTTGGAGTTATGCTATATGCTTTTAACTGAGCTCTGCTACACCACTGGCAAGTGAGGAACTGTCACACCTGTGGTATATATGTGTACACTGCAGCAGGATAAGGTGATGGTTTACACAAGGTCCTACAGAGAGCTGAGACTAAAATTCAGCTGTCTTCAACCTCTCTGCCTGCACTCAATCCTACATAATTGTTATTAATCTTGACTATTATTAGTCTCTATATTCCATTAGAGTATAGAGAACCAACAAAAATCCGTGATATTGTACAAAGGAATAAAAAAGGGCAGTGGATCTGCCAACACGAGTGGGTGCCAGCAGACATGGCAGAGGTGAGCTCCCTTGTCTGCATTACAGCTTGGTCTCTGTGAGACGTAATAATCTTGATATAAGCTGTACAAATGTCGCTTTGTGGCTTTCATGACAGATCTTGCTTGCAACCAGCTAGCTCAGTGCATGAGCAGAGCAAACTTAGGTCTGCCTCTACACGTCTGCTAGGCATACCTACACGTTGCCTGGCTGGAGGACTTCTCAGTCTCTAAGTGTGGATGAGACGGATTACTGTGATTTTACAGATGGTAACTAAGGCAAAGAGAGACCAGGTGATTAGTCCAAGACTACATAAAATATGAGCTGTGGCTCAGAGTTGAGTCTAAGCCTCTTAAATCTCACCCTAAAAGACTATTCCTCCTTCATAACACTTGGTAAAGTCTTCCTGATTTAGCATCTTCCTGCTGCTGTGTTGGAAGGGAGTCTTCTCTTATTCTAGGTTTTTGATTTTGCTTCTCAGACAAAGGTTTTGCCAACCCAGATGGTAGCAATTGGTTTCTGTCCTGCTTATTTCCCCATCCTCTCAGACTGCAAGGCCCGGATCCCAAAGATCCAAGGAATCCTGCTCTAATACACTCCTGCATGAAATGTAAGCCAGTAAAAGCAGATAACCAATATAAGTCAAAACTACAATTTCCTTTCCTAGCCAGCCTTAATAGTTTTTGTGGCTTACCACAAGATTTGGGATGTCAATTACACTGCAGACAGATTTACAAATGCTGGAAGAGGAACTTTTCTTTAATCAGTATTAAAACAGCATTGCAGTTATTAAATACAATGGTTCTTTATTGTGGAGAATTATCTGTAGCTCATCAAAACAAATGTGCTGTACCTTCCCAAGAAGTTATTTGTACAATGATGCCCATGAAAATCTTATCTTTAAGGATTTTTCCCAGCTGAATCAATTCAGAAGAGCTGTTTTATAACCTACAGGTGTGAAAAGTAACTTTATTTTGTTTTTAGATGCTTGGTTGAAACCTGCAGTTTCTTTACTGCAGAATAAAACTTCCTTGCCAGTGTGTTCTAAAAGGAAGCCTAAGACCAAAGAGGAAGAAACAAAATGTTGAATACCTGCTCATTATTTGAAAACTGTCCATCTTATGTGTTGGATGGAGGTATGTTCTGCAGAAAAAAAAATAGCATGTGATGGTGTAACTGAAGCCTGTATCAAGCTGTGGCCAGCATGGAGAAACTGTGAGGTTGCACATATGGAGCCATCGCATGCTCCAGCCATCAGGCCCTCACTGGGAAATCTTAGCCCAAATGGATGGGATTTGCCTGACTTACAAATAACTGAAAACAAAGTCTTCTAACAAGGAGGTGGTGGCCAACCTCCATTACTGTCTCCTTCTGCAATAATAAACAGTATCACTTGTTCCAGAAGTCTGGTCATACTCTGAAGGGAAAATTGTTGGTGAACAGCTGTGGGAAGGACTATTAGTAAATATTTATGCTGTAGCATAATGATCTCTTTCACTAATGCACAATGTAGAGGACTTTTCACTTGCAGAAGTGTTATAGGCCAAATCCTGCAAGGTGTGCCAGCATTGCAACATGCGGGGCTATTGCTACAGGTGCTGCCAGTAAATACTTCATCTTGCATCAGTTGCTCAACCAAGTGCTGAAAGATCAAACTGTCTCTATTTTTGCATCTGCATGCATGTTTCTTATTACCTTCTGTAGCAAAGAAAAAGGAAGCAGCAACAAGAGTAGGGTTTGGGATTGTCTCTGCAGTGTAGAATTCTTGCTACACATGGAGTTTGTAAACTGCCAAAGACACATCTTGCTTCGGTGCATCTCAGCAAGCGATAGGATGAGAAGAAACAGCCTCAAGCTGCACCAAGGGAAGTTTAGGTTGGATATTAGGAAAAACTTATTCACCGAAAGGGTAGTCAA